CAAATCATCCTCATTTCTCCCCAAAAAACAACCAGAATGCCCCCTTAAAAGCAGGTGCGAGAAGACAATTCCTTCGAAAGCATTTAGTATGAAAACGGGCCAACATGCATACCAATTTCAGTTCATGCGCAACAGTCAGTTATGCTGCAAAAAACTCAACCACAGCAGTGTTTTGTTAAAAATATAGAATTTCACTACCCGCAAAACCACTTAAGTTAAAAAAAAGATTTAAATTAAAAAATTACCTTTCCTGTTTTCCTGGCGCGTTAGAGAAGATGTCAGGACGCTCGCCCTACTAGTGCACTGATAAAAACTCAGAGAACAGGACAAAAAGATAACCCCCCGGAACAACCCGTGAAAGGTAAAATGGATAAGACCCATGCCTAATCTGTAAAGTATGAAATGCTCTTCCTTTTTGTTTTGTTCACTTGACGTGTTCCATCTGTTCCTAACTGTTCCGTTTTCATCGGGAGTTTCGCGCCATCGAGTGAGCAGAGGAGGCTTGAAACTGAGCGCAATTCCTTAACTTAACCTAAACTCAACTCCAGTAAAGACAAATTGGTCTTGTCTAGCGCTACCGACCTACAAACTTAACACGTTATTTTCAGCGTTGGTGCAAGCAGAAAACCCCCTGGTGCAAAACCTTCGATAGAAACTTTGTTTTGTTTCACTCGCCTTTCCAGTTTCTTCCTTTCTGTTGTTTAACTTCGCGCAACGGGAGTTTTATGTTTTCTAAATTGTTTTATGTGCGCAACCAGAAATACAAAAATGACCGGTTGTTGAATTTTTCCCTCATGCGCAATGCATTTTACCGCGCGTCGCATCCTAAATCTCCGAGGACTGCCTGGGAACGAGACTGTGAAGGCCCAACTTCCCCTCAGTTTTCTGATATCAAGACAACCAATCAATAAGTAATCAATGAATAACTTTACTTTATTAAAAAAAACTTGCAAAAGACTACCAGTCAAAGACTAAACAAATCTTAACAATACCATACTTTTTTGCATCTACATAAACATGCAATATATACAGATTAGATCAGATCAGGCTAAACGTCTTTCATTTCAGTTAATTGGTTCATAAGAACAAATGTAATTTTCTGTACAGGCGTTTAACTCGTGCATTTTTTATTGTAATATCTTCCAGCTCTGAAAAAAAATTAACATACCTAGTATACAAGTGGATAAACCAAGACAAATTTCAAAGCAAGTTTGACGATGTTTTGTTCGCATTCGACGGTGGTTTTGATTACATTCGAAAAATATTCAACACTTTAAAAGCTAGTTGAATAGGTTAAGAGATCAAAGTAAGTGTAATTGAAAATATTTTTGAGTTGATTGTATCCACGAAGTAACCTACCTAGAGTTACTTTGCCTACGATTTGAGTGATTGATGAAGAAATTGCAACAAATCGGCACCGTTTTAACTGTCCAAGGCCCCTCATCCCCTCTTAACTATAAAATGTATTAGAAAAAGAAATACAAGACGATTCGGGGAGGGGGGGGAGGAGGGGTAACAGCGGATTTTAAGAGTCTCTCCCCCCTTTAATATACCTTATTTCTTAATACCAGTGATTTGCATTGCCGACAGGAAACCGCGAAGGCTTTGTTTAAAATGTTTTTGACCAAGCCAAACAATATTTTCCTCATGGCTCAGAAACAACCTGGAACCTCTGCAGTTATTGTGCCATTAATAAGTTAGAACTGGTTATGTTATGCGTCAGTTTGTGAGATGAGCGCGTGCTATATAAAGCATTAGGTTAAATCAGAAGTTCCAGATCGATCTTTCCAATTGGCTGTCGAAAAACTGTATTCATTGAAAGCTGGAATTTTATTGAAACTTTGCTCGAACTGACCTAGCTCATAAATTTCCAATTTATTCATTTTTAATTACACTAAACTCAGAACTCTTCTTTTAAAGTGTTGCATGACAAAGGAATCACTCGCAGTTACATTTCTCATCCAGTTTTCGGTACGATTACACACAATTCATTGAGTTTCTATGGGCTTAAGTACAAGTTTGAAATATCACCGAAGTACATGGTAAAGTAATAATTTCAAAAAGTTCATCTCCGAAGTTTAATGATTGGTGTCCATTATGTTCCTTCCAACAGTACTGTATTCTAAGTTGTTCTGCGTCTCTGGAAGCTGTTAAAACGAAAAAAATTGTATTTGTGAGTTAACTTTCATGATCTCTAAGAATCACGATCCGCGGCTAGCGCTTATTCCCGCGCAATCCCTTACACTCTCAAAATATTTTTTTCAATGTACTTTAAGGAAATTTCTAACATAAAATATTCACTTTGAATTCAGTTCTTCTGTCAGACTAACAATGAGAACATTGTTTTTAGAAGTTAAACAGTCACCGGTTTATCTCAGGATTAGAAGAGTGGGTTACAATTTTTACGCACGCTCGCATATTTCGCCCGCGGGAAAACAAGGGACTTTGTGTAGTCCAGATCTTACCAAGTACCAACTTATTAGAACTGGGTTGTTCGCGCAGAATCAGTGTGACAGCAAAAACTGCAGATATCTAACTCTTTGTACACTGAGGAATGACCACTAAACTTCTCTCCTCTGCAATTGATAAATTAAAAATATTGTGCGTGAAGAGATACAAAAATAGTACNGAAAAACTGTATTCATTGAAAGCTGGAATTTTATTGAAACTTTGCTCGAACTGACCTAGCTCATAAATTTCCAATTTATTCATTTTTAATTACACTAAACTCAGAACTCTTCTTTTAAAGTGTTGCATGACAAAGGAATCACTCGCAGTTACATTTCTCATCCAGTTTTCGGTACGATTACACACAATTCATTGAGTTTCTATGGGCTTAAGTACAAGTTTGAAATATCACCGAAGTACATGGTAAAGTAATAATTTCAAAAAGTTCATCTCCGAAGTTTAATGATTGGTGTCCATTATGTTCCTTCCAACAGTACTGTATTCTAAGTTGTTCTGCGTCTCTGGAAGCTGTTAAAACGAAAAAAATTGTATTTGTGAGTTAACTTTCATGATCTCTAAGAATCACGATCCGCGGCTAGCGCTTATTCCCGCGCAATCCCTTACACTCTCAAAATATTTATTTCAATGTACTTTAAGGAAATTTCTAACATAAAATATTCACTTTGAATTCAGTTCTTCTGTCAGACTAACAATGAGAACATTGTTTTTAGAAGTTAAACAGTCACCGGTTTATCTCAGGATTAGAAGAGTGGGTTACAATTTTTACGCACGCTCGCATATTTCGCCCGCGGGAAAACAAGGGACTTTGTGTAGTCCAGATCTTACCAAGTACCAACTTATTAGAACTGGGTTGTTCGCGCAGAATCAGTGTGACAGCAAAAACTGCAGATATCTAACTCTTTGTACACTGAGGAATGACCACTAAACTTCTCTCCTCTGCAATTGATAAATTAAAAATATTGTGCGTGAAGAGATACAAAAATAGTACTTACCAATTTTGAAGGGGCTCATTCAAGTCGAGATCGCTGTCGCAAGTAGCTGGACCTTCCGACGTGGCTGAAACGAAATGCCGAGCTTCGTGATCTGAAAACAAAAAAAGGAGAAAGACATTACTTTTATTATTAATATCACAAACTGAAGGGTTACCTCGTGGTAGTCTTAATTTTGCGACGCAAAAAGAAACCTGAAAATATCAACTTCCAGGTTGGTATAAAATTAAAAGCTTTAAAAATAAAATAAGGAACAAACAAGCAATTGAACACAAACAAAAAAACTGACTCAAAAGGCGATTAAGTATATAAATGATTAGGGATGGTATAGGGTAGGAACAACTTTAGTCCTGAGAAATAACGAGTCTCTATATAATGCAAGCAGGTGTGTCCTCCTAACGATAAAGTAAACGATCGTCCTTCTTGCAGTCCATGGATTGTAATCATGGAAGAGTCAGAGTTCGTTATTTTTTTCTTGGTATTATATTTTTTGTAGCATTCCTTAGTATAATTCAAATGACATCACTGAGGATTCAGGTTTCATTATTCATTTTTTAAAGTTTTGAGTCAATCAATATAGTTAACAACTAGAAAGACATTGGTTTTTGGTTTTATGCAGTACATACCTCTGGAGCGAGATTGATGTATCGCGAGACGATTTTGCCAGACAGGTAATGATGGCTGCGACGACTGTCTTCAGATCTCTGGGACCTAAATGGAAATAACTCTGAGAAGGAAAATTAATAACACGTGCAAAGGCCTTAACGGAAGCCCTTTTGAAGTCCTATTAAGAATTCCTCATAGATTGTCTGATCTGGCGCGGTTAAAGCTGATTTGGTTCAGTATGGAGAGTTGAATCAAGAGCTGCGCGCTGATTTAATTCTACGCAGTTTGCTATTGCCTTCTTCGACGTCTTTAAATCCCGCAGAAGCCTGGGAATAAGCATCATTATTTTCTTTGCATTTAGCTCGTTAGGAAACCTGTTGTAAAATTTTTTTATTCGTCTGATTTTACAGGAAGTTCTTGGTAAACTGCTTAAGTTTTTCAACGTAGATTTTTGAACAATGTCGATGTTTCTTTCCTGGTGCAAATCACTTCAAGCAACGAGGGCCCTGGGTGAATCCTCCAAACGTACAAAGCGCTTCAAAAAGCAGCAAAATACTGGCTTATCATTTTTTTTAAAAAATCTGCATTTTCAGTGAAAATCTAGAATGGCGGCAGGACCTGTTCACAGGCTTACTAGCGTTGATACCGCCTACCTACATTCCATGCTATTTAGATAATCCTCTAGCAACTTGCGCTATCCAAAAAATAATTAAACTGTGAAAATCTCAGGGGGAGGGGGTTGGATTTTCACTCGACCCCCTAATATTCTCGTATAATCTACTCCTGCTAGGAAACTGCGCCTTTTTTCTAAGCTTTCGGCTTCGCAAAAAAAACTAGTCTACCGGCTGCTTATGGCTGTTATTAGCATTTCAGGACCAAACTGATAATAGTAAATCATGCACAATTAGCTCAGTTCATGAAAAAGCTACTCCAAAATATTATTATCACCTCCTGGCATCGAATTTTTCGGCCTAAATTTTTGACGATTTTCAAGCCACCCAAAAATATACTGAATCTGTGCTGTAGGAACCTAATGGGAATAAAGGTGGGGATTTTGATTATATGAACCAAGAGTCGTGATGGCTCTTGATGAACGGATAACATATAGTGAATTGCATACGTACATGAACGACCAAAGGACACGCTGTTTCACGATTTTGCCGCCTACGCGATAAAGCCAGTTGAATGAGTGAAGTACAGAAAACTCCTTGTTTATTAAGCTAAGATATATGTATGTTCATGACCAGTAATTATTGCATGTACCTTCCTTATATTAACGCATGTTCCTTAGTATATAGCAAGGAAAATTCTGCATTCTACTCTTCAACTGTATTTGCAACGACACGCTTTTGGAAAAACTGATGAGAAAATAAACGAGATGGGAAACCATTTGTTGTAGAAGGGGCGGGCGAGGGGCGCGGGGCAGGCATACGCCCATCCACCACTACCCCTCCCCGCAACCCTTGACGCTTAAGAAAATAGGAAAAGATTTTTCTTTTTTTGTAGGAGGGGTGAGGTGCGCGGGGCAGGCCTACGCCCATCCACCACTGCCCCTCTCCGCAGCCCTTGACGCTCATACTGAGATATCATTGAAAATTCTGCGTTTAAAATGAACAGGTAAAACTGCGTCTCCTCAAGTCAAGAGATGGTTTTAAACAGTCATGACCTCATGAAGAGTAATCAGCGACAGACAAGTATAATTTTGGGCACATTTTAGGGCGAATTATATTTTTTTCCTCATTGTTTCTTTAAAATTCGTGCAGCGGCGTAGAATGCTCTGAGCTAATTGTGCAAAAATTAGAAATAAAAAAGAAAAAGAGATTTTGGTAACTTGCCGAGGCTTTCAACTTCTATTTCTTATCCTTTTGACGAAAGGCTTACTTGAACTGTCGTCGAAAAAATTCACGCCGCAGCTTCTCTTTCTATGAATGGCGGAATCAACTTCAACTTGTTCTTTCTTTGTTCTAATTATTTGAATGCTTTGAGAAATCGAAATTACTAAACAGCTGTAAGCTTTTTTAAAAGTGAAAAAAAATAAAAATTTTGCTGCTTTTGGTAGCGTTCGTCAACAGCCAGGTAAATTAAAAAAGAGAAAGAGAGAGAGAAGATTTTTCACGAAAACTCCCTCTTCAGCTTATACCGTATTAAGAGCAACCAATGGTCAAAATTTTACTTCAAAATGTTTCTGAGAAAATAGGCAGTTAATTTATAACGAGGAATCTGCGGCAAACATTTTGGAAAAGTATGAAAAAAAGACTATAATTGAAAGCCGGGAGGTTTGCTTCCCCCCACCCTCCCCTACTTTGGAGGATTATCTAACAATTTTTCACTTAACCAAGTAACCAATGCCAGTTTAAATTGTTCAAATACTTTAAGTTCACCTTTTGTCGTCTTCTAAGTTTGCCATTGTTGTTCGTCGCGCGCCTGTTAAGCTAAGGCCGGGCTCTTGAATGCCATTGAACACTTGATTTTCATCAGACCTTTCCATTCAATTTCCGTGTGGAGTCGCTTATCGTTTTCAATATTAGATCACACTGACATACCTCTGCTTGACACGTCCTTAATTTCGATCCCTTAAAAGATTACCATAAACTTGCCTGCCTGCTATGGCGTCCAGTATTCCCTGTCTAAATATGATACTTCCGAAGAACAAGAGATTTTAGCCTTCAATTCCACAACAAAAAAGGTTGTCTTTTGAATGCATCTCTCAGACACCTTCTCTAAAGCCACGGATTTTCTCTTGTTAATATGCACTTGGAAATGTGTTTTTAGTGTCTAGACAAACTGGCTAACCTATGTAATTTCTTTTTCACTTGTAGCGCACTTGTTTTATGATCCATGCAAGCCGTTGTACTGAGTCGAACGTTATGTACTGTTTTCTAAGGGATGAGGTTAAATCCTACAGAAACCTACTTGCATCCAGTAATTGACGGTTATTGTTTTAGGTCTTTTTTAGTTCACCTTTTGGATGAACTCGTTCGCCTTTCCTTGGAAAAACAATCTTTTCTCTTATCTCGAACTTACCTTTGTACTCAGAGAGGTTAATTCATTCAGTATATCAGCTTTGAGGTCATCATCATTGTCTTTAACAGTCCTTAACAGTCTTAAAAGGCACCTGGAAGTTCCTGACCTATAATGAAATACTTTGCACAAAGATTCAGAGAGTAGCGCAGCGAGATTTATTATTTTGGTTATAAATTAAAATCTTTGCAATGTTATTAGCCTAAAGAATTGTAACTGAAATACTCCAACTGCAATCTGTTGTGCATAAACTCCTTTATTTGTGTTTATACGTGTCTTCCCTTGAATCATATCTGTCTGCTTCCTGAAGACACAATGTATGGATTTTGCTAGTAAGGTGACCAGTTTCAAACGGCTGTTAAAAGAGTGCTATAGCTTGTTTTAGTAGACTTACCACAGACTGCCAGCAAAGGCGTTGGGCTTGAATCACCGGAGTGGAACCACCTCGTCACTGAATTTCGAAACAGTCCTTTTCTTCTCCGAAAGTATTCTGACTCTGAAAAATAACAAACTCACAAGGAAATCAGTATCCATGAAAATTTCAAGAAGAATTCACCTTCTGAAAATGACTGAGAATGACGATCAGCATGGCCAGATTGTAATCTCTTGCTGCTGTCCAAGTGAGCGATGCAGATCATCGGTATGATTAGCGTGTGTGTGTGTGTGTGTTCAAGACGTAACAACATGTTGTTTTCTTAGTACCTGCAGTGTTGGGCATAAAATCATCATCGTGTCCTTTGTTACCGGTTTGTTTGTTCACTAAAAATTTTGAAGAGTGTATGGTCTGAAATCTCGATATTAAATGTATAGACCCTTTTTTTATTATATACTTACGAACACGTGACATCCCAGCAACTCTTCTCCCGTCCATGTTATCGTGGAGAGGGTGCTGTCTGCTGTGGCCTTCTTGCATTTGACCTGAATTCGAAAGCAAAAAACCTAACTCGGATTTAGAATACCTCACTTGCTCACCTTCAGTGGGTAACTCTCGTCACAGACAAAATCAGGAATAGGCAGGTTTCCTTGAGTAACTCATCACAAAGAACAGAAACGTACAAGCCATAGGACTCATCTTGAATCTTGCCAGACTAAGGTGAACTCTTGCTCGTTAACTCTTGTCCCGAACTCATTAAATGGCGGTTTCAGCCAGAGTATTGGCATCTCACTTCTCTGGGGAAAAATGCGACATCTTCGCACAAAACGGCAAAACTTGGTGTTCATCTTGCCGATTGGGCGCGCCCCAAACGTCCTTTTTCATCCTCTTCTCCGAAAACCGTTGAAGCGAAAAATTTGAAGTGAAAAAATCGCGTTTGAAGTTCCTGACAGGAAATTGTTTAAGCTTTTATAACGCGTTAGTAGAAAAAATAAAAACTTTGACCTGCACTGTGTGTTCGTAACTTTATTGATCATTACAGTAAAGCTAATTACAATAATTTCAAGCTATTACTATGATCTACATAATATGCTTTCAGTGTTGATGTTTGTACAAAAAAAATGACACCCTCTCATATCCATTTCATATTTAATATTTGTGAATCTTTATTGACCTTTTAAGTGCAACAATATTACAATCAAATAAAATTAAATAAATTTAGCTGTCGCGGGTGAATCTTGATACAGTTAGAGTTGGATAGCTTGGCAGTTTCTTGAACGATGGAAAAAAAGAGGAGTATCTTGAGAGAATACCACACAAAACGGTTGTATTGTAGGTGATGTCCACTCTCGAGATGGCTAAAGACGCAAAAAAAAGGAAAAAAAGTTGACGGTCGCGTTGGCGAACTTGACAGGGCGCGCCTAAAACTGTGTTCTTCCTCTATTCCTCTGATGAAAAAAATCATAGCAAAAAATTCCGAAAAAGAAAAAGTCGGCTGACGTTCGACGTTGCTGAAATAAAACATCATTAGTAAGTTATTTAGAAGATACTTAAGACAGTTTAAGAAACCACACTGACAGCCACTTACTTTGTTGTTTATTTTTATTTTATTAAATGTAAATAATTTCCATCAATCCTAAACTGTAAAGCTGTTTGAATGTACAGCTTTACTACCACAACTTTTTAATGTATATAAATATGAAAAAATACACACCAACAACACGGCAGCGTTCGTATCTTTTATTAAATTCCATGCACCAGTTACAGTTAAACATTTAATAAAATAAATAATAATGTATTCAGTTACCTATTTTAGTTTGAAGATACTATATTTATATAAGAAAAAAAGTCACACCACAACAACACAGTAGTAATGTCGTTTTTTATTAAAATCATAATTGAGTTACAGTAAAGTAGCTAATTAAATAATTGGGGAAGCGCTCCTACAAGAAAAATTTAGGATCCAGGCAAAACCGAGGAGTGTTCATATGTCCATAAAACTTGACACATCGAATGGACACCCCAGGGTTCCCCAGACCGTACGCAGTGATCATTGGCTGCTTGCAATCGACACATTGTCGATACCAAGCCTTGCAATGTTTCAGTCCGGATGCGTAGATCGAAAAACCGAAAAAAGCCGAATCGAATTCGAAGCCGAGTTCCGACTTAAGTCATTAGATAATAAATAAGTAAATAATTGCACTAACCTGGTGTCCCTGTGTATACTTGGGCTGATAAATATGGTTCAACGTTTGCATAACTTTCAACGTACCGTACGAAAAACGTTACTATAGAAACTTGCTATGTACACTTTTCTAGAAGACGTAAGCAACAATTCTTAATAGACGCTGCTGGTGCAGTAAACGACTGGTTTACGCAGGCGTAGAACCATTTAAATCAGCCCTACCTTATATGGGTTGCTGTACTCCGTCATGTTTTGTCACCACCGGGTACATGATGGGTCCCACCCCTCCACGGGAAACGAGGATCCAAATGCTACTTGAAAAGGTGTAGTCCCATGTTGTTCGTCCAGATGATGCTTGCATTGTCAACTCTCGAAGATGAAGTCCAGCCGGCCAATTTTACTAAATAATCCTTGGTAGCCATTTCAACTAACATCTATTTTTGCTCAACGGCGTGGAAACTATATTCACTGTGCGCGTAGTTCTAAAAGGCCAGTGGATGTGCAAAATTTTCAAAAGTAATTTTTTCCTTTAAGATCTTCACCTTGTACGAGTTAGAGTAAGGATTTTGTGCTATTTCCTGAAAGGCTAATTTTGAATTTAAGCCGTTTTGAGCATCAATGTTAGTTGAAACAGCTTTTAAAGTAATTTCTATCTGCTTTCTTCCCTGACTATCCTTCTTTCTAACAAGCCGGTTGTTTTTTATTTGAGGCAGAATAATATTGAAGTCATCATCATCATCATCATCATCATCATTATCATCAGTTTAATCCCATATGGCTCCTCGTCTGCTTTCGTCATTAGCAGCCGCCAAAGTTTCCTTATCTACTTAACTAACTACTTAAGCTTCTAATTCCTACGCGACGATCATATCTTTGTTCTTCTTTCTTCGGCCGGCTTCTTCTTTTAACGAACACTGGGACGTACAGTGCGATCAAGTCACAGATCAAAGTAACACCAAGACAGCTGAACACTGCTTCAGGGCAAGGCAACCATTTTTAATGGACCATTGATATGAAGACTACCTACGCCTACGATTTGTAGACGATCAGTGCCTGCGTACCGCAATGCAGGGCTTCTAAACAAGAGAATTCTAACGCAAGGCAAGATTGACAAGAAGACAAACCCAGTCGTCTCAATGGCAATGAAGTCATAACGAAAGAAAGCTCCCGTTATCTAATGAACAACAACTATCTATAACCAATGCAGTATACACAACAGCAACATTAGGCGCAAATTCAGTAACCCACAGACGAAGGAGAGGGTTCACTACGCATGCGCATTACCAAACTTTTTTTGCGGCTAATGCTATTCTTGTGCCCACCACACGGGTTACTGACTCTTTTAACAAACTATTAGTTTCGTGTTGTTCCTCTGGCGATGAATCCGCGCTGAGTCGTAGATTGGTGTGTCGAAGATTACCTACGCTTACAGTTTGTAAACGGTCTAGCCTAGGGTGTGTGTGTTGTCCCATCGTTCCCTTGAAAACTTGTGACAAAGCGTTTAGGCCTTCCCGTGAAGTAACGCCTGGTCATAAGTTTGTAAGACTAAACCGTACACTCTTCTACGCTCGCAAATTTGGTAAAATTAAACTCATCTGAAACTTAATTTGTCAATCATCAGTAAAAACTATTATTTTTTTGTTCAATAAAGGAGACCAAATGGTTCACAGACTTAAGGTTTTGATGATTTTAGGTAAAGCACGACCAAATTTGCGAGGCTAAACTATTTAACTATCTGCAACTAGAGGAACCACTTAACCTGTAAGGGGTGGCCAAATAAGGTCCCCTACGGCAATTAAATGGTCTTTAGTCTCCAGTCCTAAATGTGTCATTAAGTAATTAACCATTGTCTGGTTGAACCTTACGAATGAAAGCTTCACTTGCCCAGTGTATGAACTGTCAAGTGAAGTGTGATTAGTTAAATTCGATTTTGCGCAACTAAGCGGGAGACCGGAGCGAAGACGACGATGTCCACGACGACGACGTAACGACGAAATGCCTCCGACGAAAAGACGAAAACCGAATCAAAGCCGAAATTGCGTTTGAAAAGCCTAAACCTATCGTTGACCGAATACCTGCAAAGCAACCCAAGTTTGAAAAAGGGAAGGGGAGGCCCTTACCAGCCCAGGGAGCCCGCTAGCTAATCTAACTACAATTAAGTTAAGCCGAAAAAAATTCCATAGACTTCAAGCCGAAGGTGTGTGTGTTTTAAAGTATGCTTTGTAAGGTTCATCCAGAGCTCTATTACAGTAACCTCCCTTGACCCAGCCCATAAAGATGGACCTAACCTGGATGGAAAACTGGCTCATCTGAGGCTGGGCTGTGGAAATTTGAAGCTGATGGTACAAGAAGAAGGTGGTCTTGTCTAGTGGTCTGTCAGGGGAAACGGTTCTGTTTCGTGGAAAAGCTGAAATCTGTAAAAACAAAAAAGGATTAAAACATTACAGAAGAGAAATTGAAAGTATAACAATCAACTGATGGAAATGTCTCAATCGTCCAGATGTGCAGCCTTAGACAAGCTCTAAGATCAAAAGCATATTCTTCACCGATTGAGGAGTTGGAGACCATAGAAAACAGTGACTGAAGTGTGCTCGTCCTTGCTAACAATACAAGATTCTGAAGGTTACGCCTATTTGCCTATATTCTGTGTTCTTTAATTTTCATTGCTTCTTTTAATTAACCTTGAAATCCGTAAAAATGCTCTCAACAGACACGACATTTGCTGTGGAAAACTTAAGCATGAAAATTCCAACTCTCGTTCAATAGCACTGCATACTGTTCACTGCTTCTTTCTGAGATAATATTATGCAAGATCGCCACTTGGATGTAAAAGTATTAGGATATGTAGAATATTGCCTTAAGAAGCTTAAAACACGAGTTAGTTGACCAAGAAAGTACCTACCTCTGTTCGGCACATCCTGTTGATCCCTTAACGCTTATTGGAATTAGACATTTCATGATGGCTGCTATGACGTTTGGGAGACCCTGTCAAAATATAATGCTTCTCAAGACCAAATTATATATCTCATGAATGTATCTCACTCTCTCTAAAGCTACGGTGGGTTTGCCTTTATCTTGAATTCTGTTTCCTTTGTTGCCTCCTCACTTGCTCTATCATTGTTATAAGCCGTTATCTTGATGTCACAGTTAAGACCTTGCCAACGGAAATATTTAATTAAGGAATGGATCCTACAGAAATCTTAAGTTAGGTTTTACAGCTTGGAGAAAAGGCTGTAAATTTACATCCAGTAATCGATGGTTTTAAGGTCTTATTGTTGACATTTTGGATGAACTCGTTTGCCTTTCCTAGGAAAGAACATTATTTTTTTAAACATGTAACTTACCTCTGTACCCAGAGAG